AACATTAATTGAAGGATTCAAACAATCAATACAAAAATGAGATACTACTTATTATTAGTTGAAAATTGGATCACTGATTAACAGATTCATTGTTAATACAAAAAAAAGAGCCAAATTTAATATCATACTAAAAAAAAAAAAGAAATCCCATTCATAAAGACCGATTATGACAAATTTACTTTCTCCTCACATCGACATAAATGATCGATTATCAATAGTACAGGTTTACTTGACTCGTTTCATTCACTTGAAAGTTGAAAGTAGTCTAGTAGTAACAGAAATCATTGTATAATCAATATTTGATGTATAGTCATCTAAACAACAATTACAACACATACCCAGAGGAATATAACACAGAATCAAATTTTATTTATGGTAAACTACAATTATAATTTGTAACAAATAAGTAACAGAAAACAATGATTACTATTGTAAGTTTTATAAGTAATAATTCTAAGTGAACCTATTATCAACTAGTCAGCAATCAATGAAACTTTTGTAGAAAAAAAACTCTATATGATTTATTAACTATTATTGATTGTGATCATTTCCATTATGTGAGGTATCAAATTACTTTAACACTTTGTGATGCCAGTTTACTGTTTTATTTCTTGTTTGCTCAGTTTTAAGTAACAGCTAGTTTTCGTATAAGGGTTAACTTGATTGCTTAAACTGAAATAATTAGAGCAAAATTTGAACCAAACAATGATTTTATATAATCATTAACTATACTATACAAAAGATACTGTCCCAATTTGATACATTTAATTAAAATTAGCATAGGGGAGAATGTAGAATTTCTCCAGTTTAGATCAACAATTGCTCATAATTGGACTAGCATTGGAAACCTGGAAGCACTTGATGACTGTTTTGTCTTGGTATGGGACTTCTTAGAAGTATGTATCCGTGATTCTATATGCGTGAATCGAATTCAGGATCTTCAGTATTGTGCCTGGACGCCTCACCTCTAAACTATTGAGTGGGCATCCAACAGTGCTAATGTCTAGCTCCAATTAACCCACAATATTGCGCGAATTTCATTCATTGTTCGCGGTGGATGACCGTCTCATACTCGCAGTGGATTAATAGTCTAGATTGTCACAGCTGATAAGAGAAATTTTGCATTCATCGAGAAAAAAATTTCAAATTAGTAAACAACTATGATACTAGAGACACCAAAGAAACTGTTACATATATGATGATATCTGAAATAAATAGAAATTTACCTGTTCACAAATAAAATTCCATTTCGAAAGTATCAAAATAAGTTGGATTAGTCAATTTGCATTATTTAAAAAAGAATAATTCAGTGTTACATGTTAGTCCGAATAAGAGTGATTGTAGGTAGTTGAAAAGAAGTCAATCGTTGTTCTTATCATTGCCGAAACAATAGCTATACATCTGGAAAACCAGAATTATGTGTTCAAAAGAAATTGGTACAATCTCTTCTTCTACCATGATGTTAATGTTTCATAATTCTTTTTCTATTCATACTTTTCTTTTTTCACAACCATCTGGTTCCCCTTCTATTTTCTCCATAAACCTTTTACCCCCCCCCCAATTGATTTATTTCTGTTTCTACGGTCGTCCTGATTACATTTAATCTCAATTCTAACAGTTTATTTTATGAGAAATATTCAAAGTCCTAACAACGAAATTGTTATTAGTTTCTCTAATTAAAAAAAGTAACGTTTTAATGTCTTTGTTTATTCTACTTCAGTGTTACCATGTTTAATAGAATTTTATTATCATTATTATTGTAATTATTATCCTCCTAAAACAATACATATACATATTTACGATCGTACAACTTTGAAAGTGAATTCACTGAATAAAGAACTTTTTGCTGAACCACTCTTTCTTATTCTATGTAGCAATGGATATATTCTATTTACATATATAACAAAAAAGCACAACAATTTAGGGAAGATCTATGTATTTCTTGATTGATTCTACATAACATGATAAAAAAAAATAATTATCATAACTGATAATTGGAGATATTGAGTCATATGGTTTAAAATTGGTGGTAATGGAGCCGATGCATTCACTCCACTACCATGAGATCATTTGAAATTATTTTATACTTTTCTATTTTAAGAATTCAGTCTATTTTTTTTCTTGAATAACTTTATATATATTTAATCTTTTCTACTATCAATGATATTATTACTACTTCAACTAAGTGGAGAACGTGATGGCGTTTGAAGCGAACGGTACTGGGTTCGAGTCCCAGAGTGAACATCAACTGTGGGGTGCAGGTATATCTACCTGACTAGTCCTAAATAGGACGAAATATACGTCAAACTGGATTCCACTGCTAACCACTATTCATCTTTGCTTAAAAATATTCTGGCATTTGTTTTGATAGATTCATTTGGTTAAATGGATATAATGTGACCAACTTGATTAGATGTACATTTATGTCCGATTTTATGTTATTTATAATCGACTAAATAAAACGTTGAAGGTAGCAATGACTTACACACATATATTGTTTATCGAATATAGTTCATACTAAACAAGTATTACATATATCACACATACAAGCTATTTTTAACAGTAAGTTTAATTATCTGAAAAGGAGATCATAATACAATAAGCTAAATACACATTCATAAACCAATTGAATAATGAATGAAAAGTTTGAATAGTGTTTGAGCTATGTAATACAGTAATAAACTAATTTTGATCTTAATCACACCATTTTTAATTATAGAAAAATAAGGTTAAATGTATATTATTATTAGAATTTCGTTAAAAACAATCATGGATAGAAAAAAAAAATAGGCTCAACATTTTGTGAACTTGTAAGAGAAACAAATAATGCATAGTAGTCAACCTGGAGGGTTGGGTATAGGGTTAACGACTCCATTTCATAGAAAACTAAATCGCTAGAAAAAAATCCTAACAAGAAAAAATAATTCAAACCATTTAAACTCTACCCTGAGAATTAGAAGGTTTACATTTAGAAGAGTTATGATGTCTTATGATGAAAACTGAGTTCATTCGGAAGTCACGAGACTGATGCCCCTTCTGACAACCAGAGCAATTATTAATTTTGGTACATGGAATGTAAATAGTAAGAAATGACAACTAATTATCACTTTAAAAAAAAAATAGTAAAATAAAAACGAATATTGTCTATAAACTGTTTCAACTATAAAGAATAGCCTAAATAATGATACTTTTATAATGAATGCTGCTATTATTGTACGAATTTACTAAATTAAAGATGTAAAATACTTCAATATGAGTTTAAAGATAAAAAGTTATTCAGAAACACCCAAAGATTACTGCTTCAATTCAATATGTGGAAGGGTTGTGTATGTACATGTGTGTGTGTGTGTGCGTGCGTATCTATGTGCATACTCCTAAGAAGTTTTAGATGATAATAAAATAGCTGTTCAGTGATTTTGTTTTGCCCAAATTATCATCCAGACGAAATCAATGCATAATGAAGAGCATCACGAAAATTTATATGTTTCATTATAAATTAATAAGCTCATCTTTCATTAGAATGTTTACAAGGTGTATATGTTTGATCCTATATTACCATATTAATATGTACAGGAAGATAAAACAATGTAAAAGTTATCAGAAATTCAGATTATTTATTTTAACACATAAACATTGGTACAAGAAGGAATCAAATACATATGAGCAACACAAATCATTCGATATATGTGAGAGATGGAATACTACCTGAGTATCCAAACCGAGACAGATGGTTTTCTTAGGCTGGAGGCAACCCTAAATTTAACTCTGTATATCTGAATTTCAGATTGACAAAGTTGAAAATTATTTTAATTAGTGGTGAATAGTTATTTCTTGGTTAGAAAACCTATTTGGTAGTAAAGCCACAAATACACTTTCCAAGTACATGCTCAGTTGAATTCATGAAAGAGATAGACAATCTATTTATAAGATTATACTCAAACAATTTCAGGCACTTGTGAAATTCGTTTCACAATGAATGGTACACTCATGTTTGGAATTGATTATTTATTGAATTCCTCATTTAGCTTCTTAAATATTTGTACATAAAGTTGAAGCTTAACCTATTTATTAGGCACAAATTAGTGTATCAAAATACGAGATATTTATTATTGTAGTTACCTAAACCAAAAAAAGCAGGACTCGAACCAGAAGTATAACAGCTAGATGTTGGATGTTTTATTATCACCACTCACATAACAATAGCTTTGTGTTTCTTTATTTTGATAAAATCAAATAATAATGTGATTTTTTTTCTACTCAATCACAATCATAAACTCAGCTTTTAGTCATGCTAGTTATAAGATGTCCAATGATACGAATGGATTGACAGAAATGAAGTAAATGGAAACGATTATTATTATCCCCATGGTATTCGACACGACCTTTCGTGACTGTACCAATCAGCTAATTAAATTTTCTTATAGAAAGGCTTTTATAAAATAATTTTGAAGGTACATCTATTTGTAACGAATAGTAATTGGTTAAAGGACTACTGGAAACCAGGTTTTATTATTTGGACACCCGTTTCAGCCTAAATGCGACCCGTGTAGGGTCGAGATCACATAGTTTACATTTAGTATAATAGCTACAAATCACTGAAATGAAATTCAATGGTCTATCTGGTCAACTCTAATTAATTTCTGAAATATTTATTAATACATCAGTAATTTCCGTTCAAGGTCATTTATTCTTTCTATTCCAAAGCACAACACATGATCCAAATAGTCTCGCCACTTTGTGAAGTTATATGCATATTACCATGTTTATATTCATATATATATGATTCGATAATTGTGTACATGTATATAACTTGTACAGGTTATTTGATATTTTGATTTAGTGAGTATACATGTGTGTGTGTGTGTGTGAATGTACAAACATATATTTAAGTGGGTGGAGTGATAGATAAGCTCATTCTTACTACTTGATAATCCTGAGAATTTGTGTTATGATCAAGTGGTATATGTATATGCAGAAAACAAAAGTTCCTATTTTTTTTTGAGAAAAGCAATACATGCATACACATACTTTAAAACACAATGGTGTACAGATACACACACACAGAGAGATTGAGAAATACATAGATGTTAGAACTGTAAATGACATTACTTGGAACAATTCAAATGTTTGGAATACTATTCACAAACTATAACACAGAATCATACGATAAGTTAAAATATACACATAAATACATTTATAGATAAGAGATAATATTGACATTAGTTAGTGAGACCATTACATAATGGATGGATAGGTCGTATAGTAAAAACCATATAAAGCCACTGGATGACTGAATATTACAAAAAAATATTTAAAGTAGTCAGAATGAAAAGATCATGTCCACAACCTATTTGTACGACTGTATTAACATAAATATGGACAAATAAATGAAATCTAACTTTAGGCTGATTGATCAATAAGCATTAAAAAATGTCTATTCTTTAATACTGATTGAGTTTCATCGATTGAACTCACCAGTGTTGGTCATTTGATATAGCATGCCTAATGTCTTCATGCTATATGATTTATGGTAACCGATAGGATCAAGTATTCGTATTAGTTGGATTTCATCAAATAGAAATATATGACATTGGTTACTTTATTCAGTGATCAATTAGTGTAAATAACTTAAACCTACAAGATATCACAGTTGAAGACTGAATACCACGTTACTAGTAACGTCTCAGTATGTGACGTTAAGTGTTGTTTTACACTATATGTTTTTGTCTGTCTGAGGAACCGTCTGAACTAACCAAAACATACGAGGTCAGATTCCAACCTGTATATCAATAATGAAAATCCCAATGACATATCAGTCAGAGATTGAGAGCATCGAATTAACTCGCTTTTAGGATTAGATTCACTTAAGCATAACTGCAAACAATGTAGACTTTCGGTAATTGATAAAGTCATATATACTTAATAATCGGAAATTTGCAACATAATATCAATCGTAATTTAATACATAAAAAGCTGGTACGGTGAATAATGAAAGATGGGATATGAAAATAAAATGTTTTATGAGTAGAGATGGATAGTGATTAACACTAGAATCAAGGATGCGCGCTTCATCATATAATAAAAGCGACTGATCAGTTGCAGTACATAACACCAACGAGAGGATTCAAACAACCAATATAAATGAAGTAAAATTAACCCCGTTGTTATACAAGTTAGTGGCTATTTGAATTCAGTAGCTAAGTGGATAATGCATCTGGTGTTTAAAGAAAAAACTACTGGGTTCCAGTCTCGATGCGACCATCAAAACTGAAGTGCATATATATACCAGATGACGAGTCCCCGATAAGTTAAAACTCGCGTCCGGGATTCTGCTGCTAGCGACTATCTAACTCTGCTGAAAAAACACTTGTGACTTGAGGATGAGATCGAGGCGATCTACACAGGATGCATATATAGCAAAAGAAACTGATTAACTGCAGTCATAAAACACCATTGGAAACATTCAAAGAACCAATACAAATGAACAAAGACAAAACAGTCTTAATTAATTGATAAAGATTGGTAGTAAACTGTCATATATATTTATTAATCGAAAGATAATGCAACTAGACCAATTATTATGAATAATACATTTAATATGAAGTGATCAGTCAGGTTCAATAATCACGGTATTCAACTTTCAACCGCAAACTCGCAAGTTCGAACCCTAATCCACTTAATTCAGTTTGAATAATCAGGTTGTAGTACCAGTAAAATTCACACATTTAAAATGTAGCTCGCAGTTAAGTGTATAAACTTGTATCTAGGTGAGTAAGTAAACATTATACATTATAAAAATCTGGAGACAAACTATAAAGAGTTGTTGTACTAATTATAGTCAGATATTAGCCGATTAACATTTAAGAACAACAAAATTGCGTTACCAATGGTCACGTTTTTTTCAAAGAAAAAAAAAACGAAAACTTTTCGATTATTAATAGTAAGTAGCAAATCACTTTAGTTTATAGTTGTGCCGGTATAGAACGTGAAAATCGTACCAGGTTTTCATTTATTACATTTTGTAATTAACAATAAATAGGTCAATGTAGGCGCAACAATGATAACCATTATTATTATTTTTTTAATATTCACATTTAACAAAGTTCTATGGATTATGATTTCATTATTCAAGTTATTCTATAATGTGAATTAACAAATAAATACAAATTAATAGCTTAAGGTGTACACAGTTAAGCGATTGAACAAACATCAAAGTGGATAGGTTAGTAATAAACAACCGACAACAAAATAGAGCACAGGTTATAATTTACATTTAGAAAACTAGTGTAGTATACAACTGAAAAGATTGATTCCAGGAGGTGACCAGTAAAACTCAGCAATGTTAAAGGTGAGCAATGATTGCTCAGTATCGTGAACTGATTTAATATCAAATTTGTAAACCGTTAAATCTTTGCTAAATGGTTCAAGTGTTAGACACTTGCAGCAAGATCTGGACTATCCGTGTTTGATGAAAAGTGGAGTAGGCAATGCACACTCCCGAAGAATCTGATACTGGAACGAAACAGCTATGGAATGTTTATTGGTTTTAATCGTTGTCAAACTAAGGTTAGTTTGTAATATAAATTATAAGATTAAAAAAATCCCCACAGACTTCTAAAATTAATAAACATACAATATACCTCAAGGTACAATAGTATTTGATTTTATAATGGAGGTTAAGTGCTAATACAATTAGTTTTTACTTGAAATATTGTGTGTGATACTATTTGGCTTATCAATTAGAACTAGAAAGGAAATGGTTTAAGCTTTATATATAATGGGTGCAAGTTGAATATTTTAATTATTCTTTTTCACTAACTGTTATGAATTACTACGTCAATGTTATATGTTAAATGAAAGGACTAAAACAATTCATTTACTCCTCATTCGGTCAATATGCATCGGCCAACAAGAAGTATTGCACCTAATCAAACAAGTACTAAATGCATGTCGACACTTCCTAGACGTTTGTTTAAAGTAAGAAAAACACTACAAGATGGACGATATAGTGGTTTCACCGTAGTGAGCATTCATGACCCTCTTAGAAATAAAATCCATAAACTTCAGGTCTCATGACAAACGATTTGTCTTTAAGCGATCAAATTGAAATCTAACAGTAGTCATTTTAAATTTCGGTTAATTTGTGGTTTCATCGATTGGTAAACTGCCTAATACTGGATAGTGAAACTCATTTACATTTATTTTCTTCCTCTTACAATCAGTCAGATAAAAATGCACGTTCAACTTTACATAGCAATAGCATGGTGAAATGAAATAAACAAGATGACTAGAAAACGAGTAGAAACATTAATAGCATAAATGGTAATGGAAAACACTGATTACTGAAGAATACAGTTGGAAAAGAATGAATTCATGGGATAAAATGGAATTTTTGAAAAAGAATGCAGAACAAAACTAAGAACAACTGTGAGCAATGAAGCTATCAAGTAATCGATTATGTACAAACACGAAACAGGATTGCATTTAACTTATAAGCTTTAAAGAAAACATTTTTTTAAAAGCTAGGAAATAATGTGAAATATTGTTAGATATTCAGTATAGATGTAAGAGAGGTAGGCGAGAGGGGGATATGTGATAAGAGGTGAAGAAAGAGTAAATAACAATCCTTAAACTGATAATTTTGAACCTGTATGATTTACCATTTGGTACCAAATTGAAAAGAATTGTCTTTGACCAATGTACATACATATATACCAATTATTGCAACCAAACTTTTAAACTATAAATGGTAATTAACAACAAATATGAGAATTGGCAAACTACTTAATCCTACATTAAATTCTCACCAAACACAATAGTGATAACTTGACGAATATTGGAAAAGTTGAACTTTCGGAATTGTCTCCTACTTGAAATTAATGTTTACATCTATGTTCTTTAATTATTAACGAACTAAATGATTGTATGTTTACATTATCCTATTTATAAGCTTTCTTGTGATGCATAAACTAATAATGTTTGTTGTGCCTTTCTTAATTTACTGTGAATTTATCACAAACCAGTGTATTATTAAAAAGAGTAAATGAAATACAAATATGTTCCAGTCACATTTTAGTTGGCGATTAAAAGAGATTTTCGGATATAATCCCTGGTACTTCATTTTAATTTTCCTGGTGTCGATAATATCATTTGGTCACATGCATTTGGCGTTTGACGCAAAAAAAAATAGTTTAGCTAAGTTTTAGCTAAAATATACACTAGGATAATGCAACTACATACAGCTAACGAGTCCCAAGTGGGATGAAACGTATGTTCTGGTCACATTTCCACTACCCAAATTTACCACTTATATTCACTATTCATCACATTTTAAACTTCACTAACCTTTATGTAACATCATAGAATATCAGAGAGGATGGAAAAAAAATGACCGTATTGCTTTGTTTGAGTTCGTACACGAATTTTAATTTTCGGATTAGAAATCTCACTGGTTGAAATCATGAATCCATTGAAGCTAGACCACCATGGAAAACCTGGAAGCACTGGACGGCCGTTTCGTCCTAGTATGGGACTCCTCAGCAGTGCGCATCGGATTAGAGCAGACTACGCAATAAAAGTTTATTAAGTAAAATACTGACTACTGAAAAACGAAGCAAGTAATATATATAAACAACAGGTACAAATGACATACTTTCGCTTCACGAATTGTAGCCAATACAGCAGATTCAATCAAATCTGCGTACTTATTTAAATTCATATAACGAAGCATCATAATGGCTGAAAAGAGTAGAGCAGTTGGATTGGCACGATCTTGACCAGCAATATCAGGAGCGGTACCATGTACCTAAAAATATGTATAATGGATATTACTTTTACGAAAAAATATAAAAAAATTCTAATCGTATAACACAAAATTTCCAGGATAACCACAGTTTAATATATGCTATGTCTACAGGATTATGATCAACAGTTGGGAAAATTCGACTAGAATCAGCTCTTAAAAAATATGAAGGAGTCATTTCAAGATCTTGAACTAATCGAGAAAAAAATTGAATGTGATTGTCAGAAAATGACATTCATAATATTTGATCCTGAAACACGTTTCAGCTTATTCGATAATCAACCACATAGTTTCTACTAAGATAGGAAAGGAGTAAACTACCAAGGCGTTTTGAATAAGCGGAATATTTGACACAAAAGTACACATTTAATAAATCAATCTGAAACGCCTATGACTTGAAGATATGAGTTTTATAGGAAATTTATAAGCTTATGAAAATTAACAATTAACTATCATGGTTAAATCTTGTCCACCATATTTCTAAATGCCCACAAAACGATGTAAGTCGATCACACCAGCTATCGCTGTCGATCGTTGAATATATATATAGAGGATATACATTCACAACCTTACCAACAGATTTATTATTCTAGCCTAATAATTTATTCCTAATCTCAACATCAGTCCCTAGGTCATCCAACAATACGAGAGCAATAATTCGGAGATACCTACGTTCAAAAACCAATAGCCTAAGAGAGGGTATACTTTCCCCATAGGTCGCGTTTCACAACCAGAGTACACTACAGAAAGAGCTGCTGAGCAGTACAGTTACAATTCGAAAAATACATGGACAAATTGTCTGCATCACAAGTGACGTCAGTTAAATATTAACATTATAAAAAGTTACGAACTTACTGATTCAAATATAGCTCCAGTTTCACCAATGTTACCACTTGGTGTAACACCTAGACCACCAATTAAACCAGCAGCTAAATCACTCAATATATCACCATACAAATTTGGCATAACTAATACATCGAAACGAGTTGGGTCTTGAACAAGCTGGTATAGGGAGAGAGAAAAAATTCCATTCAACGTATTTATATTAATAACTGTTATTTTAATTATTCTCACGGTTACAAAACTAATCATAGCGACAATAATAATAACAGCTTTATTCGGCATTAAAAACTTCATTATGGTAAGGGATTCTCAGTATCAATTGCACAATACTGCAAAAAATTTCTGCATAACAAGTAATCAAACTGGAATTATTTCATAATATATTTTATAAATGTTTTTAATAGTCAGGTATTTAGTGTTTATCTTCGATTGAGAAAATGTTCTACCAGTTCAGATGCTACAATCATTGTTTCCGTTTATCATATAAAAGAAGCACGAGTTGCAGTGTAGTTGTCTCTGATTATTTTTTTCGAAGAATAGACAAGGAATAAAATATTCCAACAAACTCAATGTTTCGCAACGATTTAGAACCCTTTCACAAAAGGGCCTCAGTGCATACAGCCAACATTCATAAGTATTTAGTTCAGAGAAATTCAGAACAATTTCCGGGGTTCTATTGAGAGTCCATGGCCAGTGGAGCTAAACCGTGTCGGGTGTGAGATAGTTACTTACCACAGATGATAGAAGATGGACACACAGTGGACTGGATTAATTAAAGTTAAATATTAACACCATCGGGGGTGCTGATTCAGTGGTCTAGAGGTTAGGCGTTCGCGCGCAAGACCGAAGATCTTGATCTCAATTCCTGCATTCTGGGTCTTAGATTAGCACTAATGAAGAGTCCCATACTACGACAAAACAGCTGTCCAATGCTTTCAGGTCTAACTTAGATCGGGTGATGATATCAGTGAAATTCAAAACGGATGAATTAATTGTAATATTTGCACAGTTAGGAAACAAATGACTCAAACGTTTAAATCGGCCGCTTGCTCATTGTTATAAAACAATAATAATGATGATTAACGAAAGAGAGAACTTTTTAGAATACATCATTATCACTGTAGCAACAAGTAAGTACCATATATGGTAGTCATATAATTGTTCGGTGGTATACAGTATTTGCTAATTAGATTGTCTTATTAATTTTTTATACGCTTACTTGAAACAGAGGTGAATAGTTTTTGTTTTTAAAGTTTATTTCACAATTGTTACAACAATTTATTCATGTAACTTAAGAGTTTTAAGAAATCCTGTTATCTTCCTGTGTATTTCCCACAGTTAACATCAATACAAAAAAGAAACAGAGATAACTACTAATTAAAAACAAGACTATTAACTATAACTATTTACTGAATAGTTCAATAGCTTCATCTTTTACATAAAGTATGCATAGTGCTTTTAACGAATACACATAAAGAGACATCGGTGATTAGTAAAAACATAAGATTACAGATTATAATCAGTTAGTGTTTGTGCATCAATGAATGAATGAATCAGTCAGTCAGTTAGCTAGTTGTTATCAAAACAACAACTGTCATAGATATGCACTAAGTGAAATACCTAAAACACATTAACACAATACGATGAAAAAAATGAATAATATAACATTTGTCTAGTTCTTAGTACTTATCGAATTCTATCCACTAAGTTGTATTACAAGCACTTGTCTAAGTGATTCAACATCTCATATACTATGTTAAGATAATTAGATAATTGTAGGTAGTCGGTAGGAATTCCTATCTGCCATAAATGGAACAGCGAAAGTGTAGTAGTATTAATGACAGTGGGAAAAATAATAAACTTTCACAAAGTATGGTTTGGAGAAGAAAATGAATGCGATCTCACCATGTATCATTCAAGGTATCCAATCATCAAAAGGGGAAAATATGATGAAAAAGAAGTTGTGAATATTGAATAACTTTTATAAATAATCTTTCTTTTGTTTAACTTACATTTAAACAGACAGTATCCAAAAACATATCACAAAATTCAATCTCCCTATGGTTTGCAGCTTCTTCACGGCATACTCGAAGGAATAAACCATCTGACATTCTCCTTTTTATTGAGGAGAGGGATGGAAAATAGAAAAAAAAATTACAGATCAATTAATTTACATTACATTCTAAAAATATCGAGTTTTAACAATCATCGTATGTACTATACAATTTGGTAGTGATGATTTGAAATTATTTTCTCCAAGATTATTTATGAGCATGAATATGTTGTATCCGGAGAAGATTAAATTAAGTGTAATTTCTGGAAACCATTTATGGATTGGTATTACATATATTTCTTACTGTATAACAGTTAAGTACCTAGATTATATATATTTATATTCCTTTAATCATAAGCTTTCATTTGACGATTTCGGTATGATATGGTCTGATTTGCTTGTATATGAACCAAATATGCTTGAAATATATGATTCATATAGTGGAAGCCGATATTGGTGTTCTAGACTCAACAGGCAGGGCAAGATGAGAAGGATCGATAAGGACTCTAGACTGCTCGTACTGGTTTGTTTGTCTTTGGTCTGGTCATTTAAGTCGGTGTTCTAATTGGCGAATAAATCACGTGATATAACTAACGGGCCACACGCCATAACATAATGTAATTGGGAAACTATGATCTGGGACTAGAGGTTATCTGCTTTGTGGAACAGTCGTTCGTTTAGCTATAGTATCGTGAAGACTCGTTTGTCTTTGTGTTCGAAACAAGCACTCAGTATTGCAGACTACAGATGCTATTTGTATTATGAGTTGGTAGCAGTCATTTCAGAGAGGAAAACTACATTACTAAAGTAATACATAATCTGTAAATATTAGGCAGGAGTCTGGGACACAGACCACAGTCCGTACGTTTACTATTTAAAGAAACAAGCATTCAGAGATAGCAATATCCATAAAATAAAATGGTATACTCCGAATGGTAGTGCAGTCGGCTTAGTGAAATATCTGCGTTAAGCTGAGGACAAAGTAATCGGATGAGAGTCACAGGCATCAAAATGATGCCAAAATCGGAGATGAGACGTAATAACAATCATATTAAATTGGATCTATAAAAGTCCCGCAAAAGTACTCATCAACTAGTTCATCACACTGATATCAAATAACAGGAACACAACAGTTCTAATTGTATAAAATATGATCATATCAAATGGCAGCTTAGTTAGTGACTGACACCCTGTCTCTAGAAGCCATGAATATCAACCTTGAGTTTTAAATTACCAGCATAATCAGCCTTCATATATCACTAGAAGTCATAATTATTTTGATCCAAAGAGAGAAACCTTCGTGCCTAAAGCATCCAGCTTTCAATTATCTGATACAAACACCTCTACATCCATTTCAGTAGGGAGAAACATCTGGTTCTTGAAACCAGTACTTGGTTAACAAGTTACACATATATACGCACACAAGTTATCATTAAATTTGTGTGTAAACTGTGATACTTCCCGGGTGTCCAAACAGACACAGGTGGCCTTCTTAGGCGGTCACTTCCCGAGTCGTTGACCCAGAGGTCTAATCCACAAGACAGTGGAGCAAAGTTAGGAGATACAGTCCCATGGCAGCCGGTGACTATACGCCATTTTCTGTCTCGGGATTCTGGAGCATCATTGGTTTGGAATCAGGATTTTCCAACTCTCCTAGGTAGATTTAAGAACCAAACATTCGCATTTGTCCTCTCAGTCTCGTAAACTATAACCACCCTCCGCGAGAAGGAAGTGATTAGGGCTTCCCTGGCAATGGCTATATACTCATGGTCATGTGAGAGCATTTTGAGAGTGAGACGTTTACCCCTGACCTCGATTGTACCAATGGCACTGAGGGGCATTGATTAATAAGTATTTATGGCTCCACTTTTTATTTAATGCTCAAAACTAGTTAATCAACAAACAGTCGAGTGTTCAAAACAGACAAGGAAACATTAAAATTCGAAGCTCATTTAGTGGAATAAAAATGTTCACGAAAGTAACTTACATAATATTAGCTTTATGCACAGCTGTTACACTACGTCGACCATTATCTTTTGCATATTGAAATGCAAATCTAGCAACACGTCGACTTGCTTCTTCAGTGATCAATTTAATACTTTGTACAACACCATCCACAATCTACATACATACATATACATAAAGTGTTACATTAACAATAATAGTTTAGTGCATATGTAGACGACAGTGAAATAAGCGACAATATCATAATATGTTAGAAAAATAAAACATACTGCTCACAATTCCAAAAAAAAATAAAGAACTCTTAACGAAACGATTTATACGTTAACAAAAATAAAATATTTTTGTTTTCTTTTCTGTTTTATATGGTTAAAGTGAATAAGTTTAACTTTGGCATTCATGATAATCAAAGCAATTGGACGAGAGAAAGAATTCAATGTAGAGATTAGAGCCCCCACTCATTTACATGAAGCTCATATAGATTTTACGTTTCGTGAGTGATCTTTTATTCTAAATTATTGCCAAAACCAAATGCTACCTAAATGAATTGTTTATAATTCACTAAGTAATTTATAGTTCAAACTGTTTACGAATAAGATGACATACACGTGCATGTTTGGGAGACGATTCTCTTCCTCTAAATGCAAAATATTGCTTCAGGACCGGTCTGCGTCAGCGCCTGAATTAATGATAGGGAGTGAAATGATTGAGCGTGCCGATCACTTAGCTTATCTTGGGAGTTCCATAAGTCCTGATGGTCTGGTGTCTGACAAAATCTCAGCACGTATTCAGACAGCTCGATTGGCTTCTACGAAATTATGTCAATTATGGAGTAGACAAGATATACGTCTGTCAAAGGAAAAACAAGAAGCTCCCAAACCGAAACGAGGCGCCAGTCCATGATATCATTGGAAGTTGAGCTGAGCCATGTTAACAGGTGTAAACTACCTGATTAGGGCCTGTGTGTCATCGTAACTAGTGGTTAGTGAGTTTAAATGACATGACTCAAACTCCTTTAGAATGACCCAGATGCATCCACCCTTTGTCTTCTCCTGAATTCCTTGTAATTTTTTTAAAATCTAATTAATTTATGTTTTCTTGAATCATATTTGTGATGCTTAATCTTTTCTATTTTCACTGATACTGTTACTACCTCTACTGTTCTGGGATTAGCCCTAACAATGTTATCTTATTGTGTTATTAGGGTAAGACAACTTAGACCGATGTACATACACACCAGGTTCTACGTTGCGTCTTAGTGGCTGACTAACATATTCCTTCGTGCATGGTAATTAGGGATGGTGATCGCTGATCAACAACCAGTCAAATAACGTAATATACATCACTTTTATACAGGTCAGAACGTTAAAACACAAGTTCACTTTCAACCAATCAGAACCCCAGTAATCATTAGGCAAATAAGCAAACATTATTAAACAACATGGAATTCGGCACGAATGTTTAATCAGTCACACTTTTTAAAAATCACCCGTAGAGAAATTGAAGAAGAAATATACAGAGTTTAGATGAAGAGTGTAAAATCGAAGATTGAAAAATGTATGAAAATAATACCAAATATTTCAAAATAAAATGAAAATAGAAAAATAAGGAATCCAAGTTAATACAGCCATACATCAAAATTATTTCATGAAACTAAACTAAGAAACCATACAGGCAACAAATTGAAGTAAAAGAAAATAAAATAGGATGCTAGTGTACGCATATTTATTTATCACAACTGAAATTGATATACTACCCAGAAGTCATGAAGTTTGCTTCAGTTCTCTTGTAAAATCTTATCAGAGTTTCCAAACAGACAATAGAATGATGTGTCAAACCCAGTAAACCAAAATGGAAGATTATCTGCAAAGATGGTGCTGAAAAGCGAAAAGAAAACTGAAAGCAACCAATATAACAACAGGAATAAAGAAACAACGAAGCTTGTGCAAATGATGTATTTGATGTATGAGTTTCACATTTTACTGAACCAATGTGTAGTTGTGCATTAAACAATAAATTGGTCTTCCCTATCGAAGTCTTCGTTCAATACAGTACTATTATCCTGAAATTATATAATATACATCATACACCTCAACCCTTGAGGTATCTACTGTATCTACGAAGTTTATATACAATAACAGCAGAGCAGTCCCCAAAATATATATCTTAACTTAGTTACAACAAAATACAATAAACCATATGACAGTTAATCGCTATGTCGAAATTACAGTGGCAAACCCGATCGAAACAAAAACGAATAACACCAATCACTATATGGAAACTGTTACAATGAAAGAAATGTTTAACGAATATATTGAATTGAAAGGTGAACGTTAAAAAATGTCAAAGAAATGCAGTCACGACAATAAACAAATTGAGTGTCACCAGTTCATGTACATACTCAAAACTATTATGCGACAACAAACAGAAGTTATACCAGATGTTCAAATGTTATTAGAATTACAATTGGTTACTGAATATCAACAAGTAGTATAGAATAATACATAAAAAGGGAGTTGAGTAGAAAGAGAAGAAAACGTGAACAAACATAACACCTCATGAATTACGATTCATAACAGTTTATTCAGTATTGGTTATTTCGCAGAATAGTTTTTTACATAAGATCAAGAACATGGTTTATATATAAATAAAGGACTACAGATTTGTTTATTAATATATACATCATTCTCGGATTTTAACATTCATAAGTTTGTAGCCTAATTTACTTTTGTTTATACAACAATAAATTAAACTTATTTATGTATAATTATGCATAAAAAACATTTTTATTACTTACCACATGTTCTATACCAGAATATTCACCTTCAGTATTTTCTCTAACTGTAACTAAATCAACATTTTTATAAGGAGTTTCATAGCCTTCAATAGATTTACATGGTCGAACATTAGCATAAAGATTGAACTCTCTGTAGATAAATTAAGGTAATGTGAACAGAGAAAGCTAGTATAATAAATTACTGTACATTTGTGAAGAAGCGAACAGAAATTTAAACTATCTAAAAAATTTATAGGTGTCAATGCTACGATTGGACTTCATAGTTTCAAATAAATTGAGCATTGAGTAGAAAGTTAGTAATAAATATATTTCTTGTTATATGTCAATCAATAGAAAAATTGTATTCCTAACGTTTAGCGACTTATTGTAAACCACTTCTTCAGAGTGAATAAACAACCCTAAGGTTTATTTTACACCCTAAACCGAAAACCATATCACGCTTCTATGGACTACCAAATATTCAAAAGCCTGACATTCCTTGAAAACCCAATAGCAGACTCCACAAATACTGTATATGCTTTATATACATATTTTAGCGGCATACTAAAGCCACTTGAACACAATTTAATCAATGTCGTATAGGATTCATACGAATTCAAATCAAGGTCAGTTAGCCAGTTACAACATAGGACCAGGCATATATATAAATCGGTCCAAGTTGCCACACCTCATTAGCATAGCAAGACTAACACCGGATTCATAGAAACAGTTAATTCAATGATGTAATATATAGAACAAAGATTTTATGTAAGGATATAGTACAGAAAGAAAGAATTAGTTGGTAGAAAGAAAGGGAAAATAGAGTGTGTATACACCTACTCCATTGTGATCGATTCTGAGCCATGTCACCCAGTCTTCAACGATTAGTTACGATAGTCATGCGGACCCCAGCAAGTAGTTTGCATCTACCAACACGGCTCAGACTAGAAGTTAGTGTCTTCAAGCACTGTTACCACGTTTTGGTCTGGCCACCCCTAACTCTTCAAACCATTCCCAACACTAGTCAGCATCGTGAGTCGTGGCGATCGGTGTTCAGGCATACGTAACACGCCCAACTATCTCAGTCAATGAAGATTCACAACTTCATCAACTGATTTTTCATCATCATTCTCTAATGCTCCTTCGTCTAACTTCACTATTACTTACCCGGTGGTCCCAGCAGATGCCAACAATATTTCTAAGACATCTGTGATTGCATACTAGTACCTTACGAGTATCGTCTGCTCTTAATGGCCACGTTTCGCAGCCGTAAAGCACAGTACACTCGATAGACGGATATCTAGCCTTCACCATAGGTAACGTAAGTTGGCAAAAGCCAAAAGAGCTTCTCGGAGAGATCAACTAATAGAGAGTAGATTTGGTAGATACTCAGGGCAAGGAAGTATAGCATAGATTAACATCCAGTGACCAATTAATGTGAATACCGCCTTGTTCAGTTGAACTAGATATTCTCGATTTGACATTATGACTTCAACGATTTCCTTAACTTTAAATGATAGACTGCAATCATTTCGAAACAATTAGCAATAAAATAGTGCCTAACATAGGGAATATCAAAAGCATCATTTTAATCATGGTTAAAGCATCTGAATTCCAACAACAAGGATACAGGCTCGAACCCAACCCTAGTTTACTTTGTTTCGACAAGCCGGTAACTGACGAAAACAACAAAATTATCCCCAATCCTAAAAATCCCTGAAAGGTGGTAACCGAACGCATATATTTTATCACACCGATCGGTGAAACATTTTTGCATAACTCTTTACCTTTCGCAGTATTTGAGTGTTATCGATTCATTTTTCTTTTAAGTAAATTTTAAGGCCGAAATTCATGGATTTGTATAACGGTTCTTAAGCACTTTGGATCGAGTCTTAAAAGTTGATTGATTTTACTTGTAAGACAGCAGAGTAAAGTACAAAATATCAAATGACGAGACTACATGAGTAAATAGAAAGAAAATTAACATTAAACGTCAGATAAGATCACCAATCATACAACTTAAGCAGAGTTAAAAAACTGGTCTAAAATACAACTTTAAGTCAAACAACGAGTACAGGAACTAAGAAAAACTATTTATAGATTACTCATATACATTGTTTTGTGTTTAAATCGCACATCTTCAAACCTACAGATATTCTGAAACGCATTTCACTCCAGACGTGTTGACAGTTTTAAAAACTGCATATTTTAAACAAATTTCAGGAAATCCGAAACATAATAAATAAGCATGGCAGGTAGTTTGGCAACTAACCCAGTTGGTTTGGTCCCAGATCTGAGCCTTGCTCTAAATATTCAGGATCTGAGTATCTAAGTGTTATATCCAAACGAAGGACAAATGAATGGTAACTACTAGAAACTATGTATGGGCTATTATTACGTATATTCATATTAGATAACTATTATATGAATATCCATATTCCTTTTAACATAAACTTTCGTTTGACTCATTGGATGCTGTTATACGATTTACTATTCTTAATTTATTCTCAATCTGCTAGTTACAGAATCCTTCACTTACATCCACTTTTGGCTTGATTTTGTATAAATATTACTTTTCATTTTATGGTGTGATGCGGTCTGGTCTGCTTGTATATATACTGCGCATTTCCGAAAAATACGATTCTTACAGTGGAGGCTGATATTTGTATTCTGGACTAAACAGGCTAGGTTAGGCGAGAATTTACTATACACAGGATCAATAAGGACTCAGGGATGATAGTGATGCTTGACGCAATGTTGGTTTATTACACGGACAGGGTCATAGAAGTCGGTATTCTGATTGGCGATTTTGTCACGTGATATTTGACGGGCCATAGGACATAGTACTAAGCATTATCGCTGACTAATGCAAAAGGCATGAGTTATATATATATATATATATATATATATATATATATATATATATATTGCGTTACATGCCTCAGTTATTTTTGAAGGACTGGAGTTGCTCTGCGAGAAGTAATTCTACATGTTGAATATGAAAACTCATTTCGCCCATTTTCATCCATAGAAAATATGTGCTTTTCATACATAAGTGCTCGAGTAATTCTGAGGTCGATGAGTATAAATGCACCGTATTACTACATAAAACTGAATAAGCAGTCCGAAATTCAGCTAGAAAAGTATCGACGTATAATTTATTGTGTGGTGTGACAAAGTCAATTGAATGCGATGATTAGGAGGGACTTGTATTGACTATGTACATATCAGTAACAAAAAATATAGTTGCCACTCTCAAAATTCTATACTTCAATAAGTCATAGAATCACAAAAATTCATACTTGCTTTGACCGCGAATTATTGAATGAAAATAGCACTCGCCATATATATTAAAACTTAAAATTACGAAGGAAAAGTGATCATATGATTTGTGTTGATTGGTTCAGCAGAAGACTAAACTGTTCAATAAAGTTTTCTCGACCCCGTAGTAGCATGAATAGAAATGTGGAGCTGAGAAATTCCTACTTCACCAATCAACGACTTGAAATATTGCTTCTGATTTGACTGCTTATTATTATTACCAATGACGATCTTCGTTTTAACCACAATTCTCAGATGTATTCCGAAGAAATCACTCTTACTTAAGAAGAATGTGGTTTCATGACAAGAATTATATATGTATTGCTTTATTCGGTATTTTAATTGAAATAAAAAATCTTTGGTCTCTTAACTATCACATCATAAGTGGTTGTAAACATTCAAACTACACTCCTAAACACACTACTATTAACTAACTGGAAGACTAAGAAATCTTAGCCATCGTAATTTAATCGGTAGAATGTGATAACTTATTGGTTACTACTCAGCGATCGATCAGGGCAAATTTCCCAATCCTATAAGCTAGTAGCGGGCTGATTAGCTAATATTCCAGACGTTTTACGGTTGGAAAGGAAGCATCAGATATACGTCTCTAACCAGTACCAACTAGAAAAGAACCTAGGTCTCGGGGATCTTAACAATGGCCTTCCACCACTTAACAGCCATCACTAAGTTCTGATATTACCAGTTGGCTGAAAGAAATACACGTAACAAATCAAAAAGCCGATTTTGGTGCATTAGAGAAATAGAACTCACTTTCGTAATGCTAAATTTAAAGATTGATGACCCTTCCCAATCGGAGTAGCTAATGGACCTTTCAACCCAATTCCATGCTTGCGTATAATATCTAGTGAAGACTGTGGCATACGAAAGCGACCGTCTTCCGTAGGTCGAGGTGTTACATCCACTGAGTCCCATTTTATAGGAACCTAGTATTTTTAAAAAGAGAAACTGTTACCAATTATGAAATGCCAAGCGATGATACCAAATTATTTTTCTTGCAACGGATTGAACCCAATAAGACCTTCGTAGTAAAAGCAAATACGTCAAACAGATGTGTCACCATGATAATTAGGATTTTCTACGTGTTAAAAACTCCAGGATTAAATTCAAACAAATTATTTTCGACTCTACAGAAGAGCTTCGGTTTGGTCACCAGAGCAGTATCCCATCTCTGACACAAATCGGATGATCTATGTAGCGCATATCTATTTCGTTTTTCCTTGAGCCAATGTTCATGTATTTGGACACATAAATAAGTAAATAAACCACAGAGGAGTGTAATAAGTAGATTTAATGTTCCAGACAAGTAAGTCATAAAAAGTATTCTTATTCATTAATGCACCACACCTTTTTGATATTACGAGAATCCAGAACACAATCGTTAAAATAAGTTATATGTTATCTACACACGCTGAAATTACTAATCCGTTAAACATGGATAACTAAAATCGAATAATCTAATCTTCTCGGTGGTTTTGCTACTTATAGTAATCACGATGCATTAAAACTATAGTGACTTCGATACTTTGATTAGGTCCGATGGTTATTGGAATTACGTGCTAGTATAATTTTAGTGAGCAATAATAGTAATGATATACATTTTTACAGATGGAAATCCGTAAAAAGGCCAGCGAGTGTGAACTGGTGAGACACCTAATTTCCATGAATGTTTATGTAGTAATCAAAAATGAGTGTTAAACTAAGACGTACCCGAGCTAACAACTTTGGGGAGGTTTTGGGGAACGTTTGGGGTATTTTGGGGAAACTCTCGAAGTCAAATGATCCCGACCAATGTTAAAGGGGAATTTTGGGGAAATATTGGGGAATTTACCCAGGTCTGGGAAAATTTTGGGGTTTTTGTGCCATTTCCCAAAGTTAACTATAGCGGCTTCCCTAAAATGTGACAGATGTTCCCCAAAATTGGGAGCTTGGGGTAGTAATTTGATGCGGAAAAGTGACTCCTAACACCTAAGTGTTCGATCGATTTTCGAAAAAAATCCGGAGGTTCGGATCGAAAATTGATTAATGAAATAACTAATTTATCTTTAGTTCAACTGTCAAGGTAAAGATGGAAAATTATTCATAAAACGACGTTTTATTAATATAACGTACATCAGCAAATTTGAAAATTTCCTGTACAGCTGCTGATATTTCTGGACCTATACCATCACCAGGTATAAGTGCAACTGTTTTTATAGTGGTTGAAGATGACTTCCTGAATAAGATAAACAACCGTGAGCGATTAACAAGCAAACCTATTTACAACTCCGAAAATGCGCGATACGGAGCCCAAGAGTCGCATTTTCCGCGTGATACACTTGATGGATTGGAGTATTTAAACACAAATTGTCTCGACATTTTCTCGAGAGAAATCAAATTAAGCATGTTTTCATATTGCATGTTTTTCTTTATGTGCTAATAATGTAAAAAAATGAGATGAGTTTAAGTTTCAAATTTATATTTTATTCCCGAATTCCTTGAATAAATATTCTCAATGAACGATGACTAAAAAGTAATTGTAAAAGACATAGGATAACCACTTGAGTTAGGTGGAGTGTGCAAGTTGTTTGATTTACATTCATAAATTACTCAATAACATCATGCCAAACTATCCTCTTTAACCCGAACTTGAGAGTGACAGAAAGTTTGACGCCCTTGGGAAGCATAATCGATAAACAAGGAGGATCTGATGCCGACGTAAAGACCATGATTGGAAAGGCAGGGACGAAATCCTTATAACTGAAGAATATTTAGAATGCAAAACAACTGTCTACTAATATCAAAGTCACAATTTTCTATACGAACGTCAACACAGCTTTACTGTACAAAGGAGAACTACCTTAACCATCTTCAAAGATGTATTGGTATTTATAAACGATTGTTTACGTAAGATACTGCATAATCGTTGATGAGATACCATCAGCATCAGCCTAATGTGGGAGAGGACAAAACAGCTTCCAGTTGAAGAGGAAATTAGAAAAGGACGTTGACAGTGGTTAAGACACATATTAAAGAAATCATCCAACTGAATCACGTGGCAAGTACTGATTTGAAATTCTGCATGAAAACGAAAAAGGAGAAGGCTGAAGAACAGACTACGTCCGGAATTAGACATGAAAAGGATGAATAGGAACTATAAAGAACCAGAAAGGATTGTCTGTAACAGAGTTGGATGGAGAGTGCTGATAAGCGATATATGCTCCTTGACGAGGGATAACAGGAGTAAGTTCACTTCAAGTAAGCAAATTAAAACGTCATCTACCGTTATTCGCGATAGTTATGACAAATTACTAAATTCCTAAGGTTGAAATCCAAAAACTTAGTTTCCTAATACAACACATTTTTATTGTGAGTGATCTTATGCATTATCGTGTATACGGAGGGTATTTGACTGGAAAACAATGTGAATTAAATCTTTGTTAATGAATAAGTAACAAACGTCTATTAAGTTTTATTACCTTTTTAATATATGTGGCTTATACGGTTCCAATGTTTCTTTAAATTGTACTACATCAAAAGATGTTTCGTACAAATTAGGTACTGGAAACATCTTTTTGGTACATCTTCGAGATAAAAAAATATAGTAAGGCTAGGATTAATAGTTAAAGTACATTGCTAAGTTTGTCATATTTATTTTGCTCTGATTCAAAACCCGACACTTTTCTCTTTAAAGGCTTGTAAGAACACGAAAATAACACTGGAACCAAGCCAAACCATCCTTCAAGGTGAAACAGTTCTGTATTGCAGTTGGAAGTCAAAGATTTTGCTCAACACCTTCCAGACCAACGGTGACTTACGTAAATGGGTCAATCAACGCTATAGAACTGGTACCTGTGGTAATCGGTCGATTTGCATATTTCATCCACCCATTCTCTTTGCATTCAAAATAAGCATTCACTTGTTCCGCACAAATATAAATGGAGCTGTATTGCCTGAGTACCATGATAGGGTGATACAGTCTAGGTATCTGTCATATAATGTGACTTCAACGCAAGATGGATGGTATTACAACCTCCGGTCAACTATAGTTTTCTACACGTTCACAAGTCGATCCAACAAATATGGTTACCTTTACGAAATATTTGAGCCGGACTTCGCCAGTGTCTCTAAAGCATAATCTAGGCACAATAGTGTGGGGGAATAAGTTTTGCAGGGTTTAGCATCAGAAACCTAAATTGAAAATCCAGTACGTATGCAACTTCTTAGCTCGAGAAAAATCTGTTGAGGTGTAAGCATAATTTGTCACATAGTTTGAGGGACGAAAGTCTCACAAACTTCAAAATGAAACTTCTACCGTTCGCCCGGTGGCCTATCATAATTCATTGACAACTCGAACTCTTTCGTGTAGCAGCCCAAAACTTTTGAATGAATAAATTCTTGTAACACCTGAACTAGAAATAAAAACACATATGAAACTGCAACCTCGTATGAAAACCCAAGCTATTCGACAATGGCTTTGCAAGTAAACTTGTAGTGGAATTGGGCTTTAACCACACAATCCTCAAAGCTGAACACGAGACAACTGGGAAAATAGATATTCAATATTTAACGCGAAGAAAAACCTAACGATGGATAAGACGCGAACAATGGATTGAACAAATTGGAGTTGACCGGATGGAATGGCTCGGCCATGCAGGCGTGGTCCCTACTAAATGTTACCTTATATCTTTTATTCATATTAAATATATTGTTTCATCTCTAGCCTAAGCTTGTTCTCCATCATCTTGGTAATCGTTACAATGCAGTGAGTTGGTATAGACGACAATGTGACTTCCATGTAAGATCTTATAGATTAGGCAGTAATATCATAACAAATGTACAATTTTAGGATTAGGTCTATTATTAGAGTAGTGCTAATATAATAGTAGACCATAATTTTACAAACTCATCATCCATTATTTCGATTATTTATGAGTGACCTTTCGAAGTCCCAAGTTAAGGAAAACAAGGAATATCATCCACGTTGTCTGATTCTCTCCTAATATCACCATCATTTGCAAAAAAATCCAGTAGGCGACGAAAAAAATATATTCATGAACAACAATGTCTTACCACTCGAAGCCGACGAGACTCTAATAAAGTGCAATTTATTTGCTCTGAAAATCTTATGGTCACAAAGTCATTAATCAGACTGTGAAAAGTGAAAATCTGCACGCTTTAGGATACCATTTAGAAAAGACAACTAGCATTTCTCATAGAGTAGCACAAAGGTTCTTCTATGAGGCGAAATTTAGGATGGTAGAAGCACTCAGAAAGTACAAAGCGGATTAGCCGATTCTATTTAGAGGTGGGATTCTCTATGCACTGCTTTGAAATGAAGAGAAAACTTCGAGTATTCTGATCTCCCCCCTTAATATAAAAACTGACTGCAGAAAGCTGAGTTTGAGAAAGGTTCTTCCATTCCATGAAGTTCTGAATTCTCACCGTTACAAATATATACGGCAACTCACCAATAAAACCTATAATTTTTCAAAACTTTTACATCATCTTTCATTTTCGCATCAAAACACAACTAAAAATAATTGGCCACATAAGCAAGGTATACCAGCAATCCTAAACAGTAATGGCACTGGACATGCACATCTATCAGTAACCGTGATACTTTACAGAGTAAGTTTAACTTCAATGAACTCTAGCTAAATTATCTGTGAAGCTGATTACATCCACACAAAAAATACTGGTCACTGAACGCTGATGACTAATGAGGGTTGACCAATCAGTGAAATGGTTTCTGCATATGTGGGAGCATAGTCTTAATCTATGTACATGAACTATCGATAGTCTGTTCTGCTTATTGAGTAATTTCACTGATAGTATTCTATCTATATGCCACGGACATTAAAGAAGAGTAGTATACCGACTAAAATGCTGAGGTAGGTCAGGTTAAATGGTCGCAATATAGTATGACTTCGATGTGAAAATGCCAAAGTTAATCAGTCACTTCACTCCTGTTAAACTTGGATGGATAGAAGATAGGAATTGAACAATATGTGTAAACGCTTCATAACAATCATTTTCTGAACATACACAATCGATCAAATCGTAATCCAACTATTTTAAACTTCATTTTGTTATCTATTACCGTTCGTTAATAAAAGTATCAACAATATAATAATTGAATTATTATTGAAAACACTTATTTTTCTGCTCACAAATCCATCCCCCACCCACCCAAAAAAAGGAATTAGACAAAAAGAAGAAATGCATTCCTGATTTATAAATAGTATTAAACAAAAGTAACTCTTTGAATGAAAAAAGAAGTAGGCAATTATCCTTTACTCATATTTGTTCATTTAATCATTAATCTGGATTGGATACATATATTGATTGTTTGTATATGCATGCTCAGGTTTTCAATAAGCAATGGCAATCAATTTAATTGTTTATCTTCTGAATTTATATATATAAATATATATATATATATATATATATATATATATATATATATATATATATATATATATATATATATACGAGCTATCCAGTACAAACTATTGATTTTGTCAAATCTCTCTCTCTCTCTCTAAATGTATAAAAACTTTTATACACGCGGCGAATAATATTACAGTTCATTAGTACATAAATAATAGTTAAATTATAGAAAATAGGCGCTGAGATATTACAATCTGCTTATCCGTACTTATATAAGTATGTATGTGGGTATGTATGTATGTATATATGTATTCATGTAGGTATGTAGGTATGTATATGTATGTAAATGTGAACCTCTTGAAAATTGTTTGAATGCACTTAAAGAGAAAGAATTAAGCATATCATCAAAAATACTGTATTGGTAACTTCGTACTATATACTATTGCTGTCTCTCTCTCCCTCTCTCTATCTCTTTCCCTGCGGATTATTGTGAATAGTAAATAAATAATTTTCTTCCTGATTTATGTCCTTTTAATCTTTCATTTTTACTGATAAAAGAAAAGTATATATATATATATCAATATATCAATGATATCTTTATATATATGTTAATAAAATAATTATTATTCTCCATTCTGTTGTGCTAAAGATACAGTATTATCATTCTCTGTGGGAGCACGATATTCAGATTTAGCCCGAACAAACTCTCTGGCTACATCATCTGTATTAACACGTTGTGAAAGTACACGTAAAACAGTCCATCCTGTTTCTGTAAAATGTAAACGTCGTCCTAATGGAAGTCGAATTGGAGTTGCACCAAGATTTAATGCTCTAGATAAAGATAATACTGTAACACCGACAAGACGATCAGTTCGTCCAAAACAATAATCTTTTACAGATAAATGTAATTCATACCATTCAGGATCACTTTGATTGGAT